ATATATATATATATATATTAAATACGGAATTGAGACGAAGAGTAAATGTATATTACGATGTTCTTTCATTGTTGTATAAATGATTTTATTCCTTTTAACAAATTGTACGCGCTATAGTTAGTAATGCGATCCATTGTAATTTTTAAGCCAACATGTAATTTTAATTGAATAGTGTATTACATGGTGTATTACGTGCATGGGCGTGAATTAATTTTTCCGTTCAAGTAATAGTTTCGTAAAAAAACTAATGAGAAATTTATAACGCTATGACTATACATATAGGGCCACGCGTACACGTGTGAGCGCGCACGTACATTAAGTGATATACGTTTCACAATGTCAAGACAGATTTATATAGTATTTAAAAAAAAAAAAAAAACGCAGTGTGTAATATTATCTGTTCACTAGTAAACAAACTTCGATCTACATAGTGTAACAATTTAGAGGGGGGGAGGGGGGAGATTATGCGCAGTTAAATGCAATAGTGAATCACTTAATTTACATGAATTCAGGGATGAATTACGATTTCATTTCATTCATACGTTCTTATCCATCATTCATTGGCCATGCATAATTGGCTATTAATTGATTAAGTAATTTGAACGAATCGACAAAAATGGAAAAGAATTAAAGAAGATTACGAAAATCTGCATAACCAGTGAATTAGCGAACAGGCGAGAAATTCTTTCCTTTTCTTATTTCTCTTCTTTCTCTTCTTATTTGTTTCTCTTCTCCTTTTTCAATGTGTAGTTCAGTTTATTTCGCGTCGTGGAATAGCTGCTCGTACGTGCAAAGTTCGTATGATTAATTTTTAATTCACTAATTGAAAATTCGTTCAACCACGAGATATATTTACTGAAATATATTCTTGTCATTTACAAGAATGCAATAATTGACGAAGAAGTCACATTTGATATTCGCATCACTGAATTTCACTTTGTTTCATTTTCTTTTCTTGTCTATTTTACATCTTCTACTTGTTTTCTTCTCTTTCTTTCTCCCCATTTATTTATGTACGCCTTGCTTACTTCTTTTCTTATTTCCTCTGTGAGAAACAAACACGTCTGTATTCACATCACATAACTCGATATTCCGAACATTTGATAGTACTGCTACAAATTTTCTAAGTAGTTACGTTTTGCTTTCTATCTTCAACTAATGCATCATTCGCAACGATGGCAAGGTATCAAGTATTTTTGGTCTTTTTTTATCCTTATCTGTGTAGCCGAAATATTGTCTTATCACGTCGTTTGACAAGCACGCATGTATGTAGCTACGAGCAATCGCCGATTTTTATCTGTTCGCGGATTGGCAATTATATTAAGAAAATGTATAATAAATGAAACAGCGGTACATTTAAATGTTTCTTAAACGCGAATTGTTTTAAACTGCGACGTTTTTTTCATTAGAACTCGAGGCCAGTAAAATGTCTTCTCCATGTGTTTTTCCTCTTTTCCTCTTCTTTTTTTCTTAATATTTTTTCGTGATTTTCGGCATCTCTCATTGTACCTCATGTATATTTGTATATCATTTCTCATTGTCTGGAACACCCTAATGAGTTTGGGAGGCATAAATAATCGATTCTCATCGGTTTATCAATTTACACGCCATTCACAC